GACCGTGTCCAGCACGGCGATGGTGCCAATCGCGACGCCAGACGACCCGAGAACGATCGGCGCGCCGGCGTAAAACCGGATGCCGTGCGCCGACGCGACGAGCGGGTTCGATGCAAAGCGTCGGTCGCGGAGCGTGTCGGGCACGAGGATCGGCCGCGGCGCGTGCAGCGTCGAGGTGCAGAGCGAGGCTTCGCGCGGCACCTCGGGTACGAAGAGCCCGACACTCGCCTTGAACCACTGCCGGTGCGCGTCCATAAAGCTGATGTACGCGATTGGGCAGTTGGTGAGGTCACTCAAGAGGCTGCAGATCGTGTCGTAGGTTGCCTCCCGTGGCGAGTCGAGGATATGAAGCTGCCACAGCGCTTGAAGTCGCGCTTGCTCGCTCGAGTGCACCCAGAGATCTTCGATGCTGGTCGGCGCATCGTCTTTGAGAGAGCAGTATGGGGACGACGGGCACGTCGAGGCCGTGAACGACGACGACGCAAGCGACTTTTCTTCCAGGAGCGGGATCGTCGGTGTGGTGGCAAAGAACGTGCTTGGCGACGCAAGTGGAGACGGCAGCTTGGAGACGCGTGTTGTCTGCGTCGACGCGTAGCACGGTGGGCACACCTTGATGTGTCGCTGCTGGGGCTTGCGTTGCCGCTTGGTGTCGTGCGTGACCAGGCACACGCGCCGTGCGCACTGCCGGCAGATGATCTCGCCGCACTACATGAAGATGGTCCATCGTCTTCCTTGCTCGAGAGCATATTCTCGTACCATGCGGCAGTGCTGCTTGCGGCGAAAGAAGGTAAAGCTGTGCCCGCAGCCGTGACACGCCGACCGGTGAGCATCGTGCACCCAGTGCGCTTGCGAGATGCTCCACGCATGCCACTGCCCGAGCGACACGTCGAGAACGACCTCGGGGCGCTGGGCCTTTTGCTGCTGGACGTACCAGAGGTTCGGCGCGCTCAAGGCAGCGTTGGGATGCATCGACAGAATCTCTCGACTGGCCTCGGCCGACGGACGACTCCGAGTTCTGATCTGGCGCAACCCTGTCGTGGTATCCGGATCAAAAGACAACAAGCACCAATCACATGCCTGCGTTCGAGTATCTTCCGGATACCGGACCGTGGCCGTGCCAGTCAACGTCCGACGTAGCCACAAAAAGAACGCGCATTACACCACACACGGTGGTTTGATCCGAGGACCGCAATCTCCACCACGAGGTCGCTTGCATGGCATCGCCGCGCTGCAGCTAAGCTAGAAGCTATAAGAAATCATTTGTCTGGAGTAAATCAGCTCGACGAGAGGCCAATATTGCGAGATACGAGCTGGTGTTGCCACATGAATGGATGTAGTATCGGGAATGAGCCATGGGCGTAACACTACATGCTCTGGAAACGTCGCCTTGGCGTTGACGTTTGAAATCACCTTATTTTCTGGTCGTCGGAGCATGTCCACTCGGAAAAACGGCACAGGCAAGTGTTCAACTGTAGATTCGAGTCGCCCGGTGCGAGCAACACCCCAATCGCGACCTCGCAGAGCATTTCAACTCGCTCGGAACGGTGCAAGACTTGATCATTCGGTATCTGTACAGAGCCTCGTCGCGCGACTACATGAGCCTTTGTAGTCACACGATATTTTATGTGGGATAGCCTTTTGTCAACTGGTTCTTGACGTCGGAGGCGTCATGCAATCGAGCAATGGCACCTGAGGAAAGCCCGGTCGTCACCAAGGTGCTCGAGGAGTGAGCAATCACATGTTGCCCGATGACGTTCGTAGCCCCGTGGTCTATCGCGTGGGTCGGTTGCAGTTGGTCGTGCATGGACGGGCGTATACGATCAAGGGATATAGGGAATAATTGGTTATTCCCTTAAAAAGATGGTCTTTCTGCAAATTGACCTTTCTCTCGCGATACAACGCGCCCGACTACAGAAGGCATTGTGGTGGTACCTAGGCAGTACACAAAAGATGGGAGCGACTGCGCCTGCTGCTGGTTGAGATCATGCTCACCGCAACCATGAAAGGCCGTGATTTGTCAAAGGGGGAGCTCTCTAGCCCATCGGTCTGATTTCAATCATTCTGATTGGTGTAAAAGGAAGAAAGTATCGATGGATCGTGCGTGGAGGTGTTCGCTGCAATCGACATTGAGTGCGGTCGGTGGAAGCGCAACCGATGTGCCCACAACAAGATTCTATACATTCGGCGGTCCTTGCACAGCCGTCTGCTAGCAACAAGACGGTCAATGTGTACCTCGATGCGTTCGGTGGCATTTCGTGCCCAGACGACGACATTGGCGACGATGCGATCATCAACGCACTTGACGCAGTTGCTGGCGTTGTGACCGAGCACGCGCCTGTGGACGAGCAACTCGGTCACATCGATATGCGCGACGAACAAGCTGATGTCACCCGGTGGCCGCAAACTGGTAGTACGAGCGAAGATGCCCAGGCGCTAGCCCCCACACCCAATGTGCGAGTGGGACCAAAACGACGTGCTCATGGCTTCCGTGTTCCCGCATTTGTTCATGCTTGACAAAGGTACGACCGAAATCGTCGTGGTTAGTTACAGCTC